GTAGCTGATGCATTAAGTAAATTGCCTGTGACAGAAGAATTAAATTCCAGTATTCCAGTGGAGTATGTTAACCTGGTGGAATCTATGTCTTTTGAGGATATTTCATTCCAGATATTAGGAAGGCAACTGGTAGAGATCCCAAATTAAGTCTGTTGATGAAATATGTCAAATATGGTTGGAATGATAATTTATTATTGTCAGAGTATGCTGCAGTAAAGGCTGACCTTAGTATTCACCAGGATTCCTTTGTATAGGAATAGAGTGGTGGTGCCTGGGGAACTGAGATGTAAGATTTTGGAACAGCTGCATGTAGGCCATAATGGCATAAATGCTATGAAAGCAGAAGCTAGAAGTTGGGTTTGGTGGCCAAAAATAGACCAGGATAATGCTGAGAGAACAAAAAATTGTCATATTTGCTTTAAGAATTATCAGGAACCACAGGCCCCAGTACTTTCTTGGCCATGCACTGGAAAACCCTGGTCTAGACGTCATGTAGATTATGCGGGACCTATGGATAACAAATATTACCTGGTGGTGGTGGATTCATACACAAAATTTCTGGATGTGCATGTGTGTAATTCCACCACATCATCTGTAACTTGTGAATTACTAAGGAAAACATTTTGTAATTTTGGATTGCCAGACATAATTGTCTCAGACAATGCTCCTTATTTTGTTTCTGGGGAAATGTAAGATTTTTTTTCGAAAAGAATGGTATTAAACATGTAACACCTGCCCCCTATAATCCTTCTTCAAATGGTCTAGCAGAGAGAGCAATGAGATTCTTGAAAGAAGGGCTAAAGCAGTTTACGGAAGGTACTATTAATACAAGGCTTTGTAGATTTTTATATAATCAAAGGAAAACTGTTCATTCTACTACTGGTAAATCTCCTTCTGAATTACTGTTTAATAGGCACTTTAAAGTGCACATGGAAGCAGTAAAGACAGATCCCGATAAAGAGAAATCGGGAACTAGCTTGGCCAGTCAGTTGGCTCAGGGAGAGGAAATGTTGTTTAATGAGGGGGATGCAGTATATGCAAGGAATTTTGGAAGTGGAAAGCCTTGGGTGAAAGGAAAAATTAGGGAAGTCTTGGGACGCAGGAACTTCACTGTACAAGTGCAGAGTTTTGGGAACATTAATTGGAAAAGGCATGCCGATCAGCTCATGCCAAGGTTCACAGGGAATTTTGAAGACCCTTCAGGTGGGGGTGGGGCAACTAGTGATACCCATCCTAATAATGAAGGGGCAGCACCTGCAGGAGACAGGGAGGCAGAGCAAGGGGCAGCACCTGCAGGAGACCGGGAGGCAGAGCAAGGGGCAGTAGAGGGTAATGGGGATACAGTTAACCCTATGGACTCTACAAGGAGTAATTCAGAAGAATGTTTCCCAGAAGTAACAGATCAGGACTCCCAGTTGAGAAAATCAGGAAGAGTCATACGACCGCCTGATAGACTTAACCTGTAGGGATAGAGTTTATTTAAAAGGGGAGGAATGTTGAGATTGAGTACTACAGATGTTGGAGGTAGCATGTTTGGAGCAGATGCTCTTTTGTTTATGATCTTGTTAATAATATTTCATGTAACTGATAATGTTTTGTTGTTGTTACTGGTGAAGAATAAAACCATGTGGACGAATATTGTTTCTCTTACCATAACTATAACACCACCCCTGCCCCAGGGTTCGTAGCAGGAGAAAAGAGAAATATTCTAAGCCTTAATGTGCGTCGTAGCGACAGATGCGTGTCACTCTAAAGTATTTACGTAGTGATAATTTCGCATCAGTACCTATGGGGGACCTGCTGCATGGGTAACAGCTTCTCCCCAGTATCTACCTACCCTGGTTTTGCGTCCTGGAGTGGCCACTCTAAACATCCTCCAAACAAAGTCCCAAAAGTGATTCCATGCACCCGCCATTGGAAATACACGTGATGCGTGTTTATGAATGAAAACGGTTTACACACGATTCACAACTAATTATGTTCAATTTTGTTCGAACACTTCTGAAACAAGTGCTTCACTTGCGAATTTTGTTCGAACCACGATGCTATAAATGCTTCACGCACGTACTACAAATACAAATAATCGCCAACAGAACTTAAACACCTAACCTAACCTATGCATATATATGCACAATCTATATAAATAAAAATGGAAATGTTCGTTTGTTCAAAATGGCTAATCTCCGAAAGTTCTTCACCGATTGCTTTGAAATTTTCACATAATGTTCCATTCGCATCCGGTCAAGTTTTTATATGCATACTATATAGATGACACGTCTGTGACAGTAAAAAACAAACACATGCTTTTTCTGAAAAACTGTGTTTTTCATGTGAGGGAAGTCTTCGAAACCTCTTTACTGATTGCTTTGAAATTTTGACACAACGTTGCATTCGAATAGGCGCGTCTTTTTATATACCTACTATATCGATGCCACCCCTGTGACAGGTAAAAAACATGCGTGTTTGAAAAACAGCGCCATATGTTGCACATAAAAGCAACATTCACGCTATGCTAAATATGTCACAAATTCCATTTCAATGTTTCCGATTGCATTGATAATTTTTTGTTCATAGATTTCGATTTTTTTTTTTTTTATTTAACTATTTTGTGTGACATTGTGTTGGAATTGAGCTGTGTTCTTTAACATACCGTTCATTTCGTAAGTATAAGTATAGATGCCACACCTGTAACTGGTAAAACTATGCTCTTCTTGAGAAACAGCGCCATCTGTTGCACGTAAGAGCAACACACGTGCTATACGAAATATGTTACAATTCCAGTTCAATATTTCTGATTGCATTGATAAATTGAATTTTCATAGATTTTGATTTATTTTCATTTTCATTTAATTATTGTGTGTGAATTGCGTTGGAAATCAGCGGTGTTGTTTACCATACCGTTCATTTCGTGAGTAAAGTTTATTTTTTATTTCATATTTTCATTTCATACTGTTTTTCTTATACTTCAGTGATGGGAACATCAGATCATTTGATGTTCCCAGTTTTCTGATGGGATCCTCAGACCATTTGGGAAGACATCAGACGAGGGAGGGGGGAATGGTGGGGAAGGACGAGGGGGACGGGGGAGTTTGGAATGGTGGGGATGTGGGGATGGGGGAATGGAGAATGGTGGAGAGGACAAAGGGACAGAAGAGTGGGGCATGGTGGGGAGGACGAGGGGATGGTGGAGTGGGGAATGGCTGGGAGGCCGAGGAGACGGGTGAGGAGAGCCTGGTGGGGAGGAGTAGGGGACAGGGAAGGTTGCTGAGCCACAGCAATGCGTGGCCGGGTACTGCTAGTATGATAATATATTATCATACTAGCTGTCCCCAGCCACAGCAACCTTCCCCTGTCTCCCAGTCCTCCTCACCATTACCCCCCCCCCTCCCTGTTTCCTTGTCCTCCCATCCATTCCCCACTCCCCCATCCCCTCGTCCTCCCCACCATTCCCCCCCCCTTCCCCGTCCCTTTGTCCTCCCCACCATCCCCCACTCCCCCATCCCCTCGTTCTCCTAACCATTTCCCACTCCATCATCCCCTCGTCCTTCCCACCATTCCCCACTCCCTCGTCTGATACATTCCCTAATTATCTGATTTTCCCATCACTAAAATATAAGAAAAACAGATACAAAACGAAATAAAAAGAATGGTATAATACAAAAAATAAACTTTTCTCATGAAATGAATGGTATAGTAAACAACACAGCTCAATTCCAATGCAATTTCACACAATATAATTCAATCAAAATGGAAATATATAGAAATCTATGAAAATTCAATTTTTCAATAAAATCATTAACACTGAAATGAAATTGTGACATATTTAGTATAGCGTGTGTTGCTCTTACATGTAACAGATGGCACTGTTTTTTTTTAAAAAAACATGTTTTTACCTGTTACAGGTGTGGCATCTATACAGAAGGTATAAAAACATGCACGTATTCGAATGGAATGTTGTGTCAAAATTTCAAAGCAATCGATGAAGAACTTTCGGAGATTAATGCATGTGTTGCTCCTACGTCCAATAGATGGCGCTGTTTAAAAAAAACAACCTGTATTTTCCAGTCACAGGTGAGGTATGTATATAGTAGGTATGTAAAAACACGTGCCTGTTATATATATATATATATATATATATATATATATATATATATATATATATATATATATATATATATATATATATATATATATATATGTATGTATGTCGTACCTAGTAGCCAGAACACACTTCTATGCCTACTATGCAAGGCCTGATTTGCCTAATAAGCCAAGTTTTTATGAATTAATTGGTTTTCGACTACCTAACCTACCTAACCTAACCTAACCTAACTTTTTCGGCTACCTAACCTAACCTAACCTATAAAGATAGGTTAGGTTAGGTTAGGTAGGGTTGGTTAGGTTCGGTCATATATCTACGTTAATTTTAACTCCAATAAAAAAAACATTGACCTCGTACGTAATGAAATGGGTAGCTTTATCATTTCATAAGAAAAAATTAGGGAAAATATAATAATTCGGGAAAACTTGGCTTATTAGGCAAATCGGGCCTTGCATAGTAGACCGAGAAGTGCGTTCTGGCTACTAGGTACGACATATATATATATATATATATATATATATATATATATATATATATAAAAACCCGCTTGGATGCGAATGGAACGTTGTGTCAAAATTTCAAAACAATCGGTGAAGAACTTTTAGAGATTGTCAATTTTGAACATACGAACATTTACATTTTTATTTATATAGATTAATTTATATATGATAAAATTCACGTTTTGAATGAACAGCATGTTCAAATTTATGAATGCGTCTGTGGGGTCGACCGCTGAATGTAATGGACTTGAGTCGAGGACGGGTTGCCAAACCGACAACCAGAGCGCATCTCTATAGTCTCCTGAGGCTTATGGATACTTACTACTTCCTAAATCATATAATCATTGATGCGCAGATGAGTAATTATATTCTCGACACAAAGTAATTACAACGTCATGATGTCCGGGGATTGGTTGACTTGCCGCGTGGCGAGTCCTCGAGGCTCCACAGGGACGAGTGTCAACAAAGAGGCTCCACAGGGACGAGTGTCAACAAAGAGGCTCCACAGGGACGAGTGTCAACAAAGAGGCTCCACAGGGACGAGTGTCAACAAAGAGGCTCCACAGGGACGAGTGTCAACAAAGAGGCTCCACAGGGACGAGTGTCAACAAAGAGGCTCCACAGGGACGAGTGTCAACAAAGAGGCTCCACAGGGACGAGTGTCAACAAAGAGGCTCCACAGGGACGAGTGTCAACAAAGAGGCTCCACAGGAACAGGTGTCAACGAAGAGGTGAGTGCAACTCTCCACAAGACCAGTACAGGTTTGTGATCAGCAAGCTGGTCGCTGGCCAGCCATTAACCTTATACATTACTCTTGGTTATATTCCGGGAGATCCAGTTGGTTATACTCCAGGAGATCCAGTTGGTTATACTCCAGGAGATCCAGTTGGTTATACTCCGGGAGATCCAGTTGGTTATACTCCAGGAGATCCAGTTGGTTATACTCCAGGAGATCCAGTTGGTTATACTCTGGGAGAACCAGTTGGTTATACTCCGGGAGAACCAGTTGGCTATACTCCAGGAGAACCAGTCATCACACCAGAGTACCTAATCTTTCCAAACTCTTCACAATTCAAGAATTAGTGCATATGTGGCCATCCTGACCTAGGTGTTCCAGGCCCGGCGTCACCTCCTCATAATTCAGCCCGTCCTCCTAAGGTTTCCCAACGTCAAGAAACTGTCGTAGTAAAGTGCCCTTATACAACCTACTAGAGAACCCAAAACAGAAAACGACACAGTATACCAATTTCGCGAGCCGCTACTATTTTTAAGCACAGCAGAGATTGGCTTAGGGAGAGTATGACCTCCAGAGTGGCTCTGTGTATAACTTCCTGCTGGGAATACTTTCGCTACTTCATTAAGTAAATATCAAAAGAAGGCACCAAGCCGGGAAGGCTTTGTGGCAAAGTCAAATGTGCAGGATGTTCAAAAGACGTTAAATATAACTAAGGATGCCAATACGAGAACAAAAGTACATAAGGCGAACGACATCAAAGGTATCTGATTCACCAAGAATTCTATCGAGGGATCTTGCCTACCTTGAGGTTGTTCGACAAGTGTTGGACTTGAGGTTGGGCAAGTGACCGCGAGGGACGGTCGGGAAGCAGGACACACGCACGTCCTGGAAGTCCGGACATTCAACATGGATATGCACGAACGTAAGAGGGACAATGCAGTCTGGACAACTTCGTTGTGTCATGTGACACACTTGTGTCAACGACAGGGATTGTTAGGTTGTGTTAGAGAGGTGGAATTGTAAGTTGAGACGTCACCTGTCCTCGCAGCCCACGCGGTTCTCTTTATAAAGCTAATGTACACCTCTTCCCAATACTTTTGCTCTCACCAGTAAAACACCTCCTGTCACAAATAAAACATATGTTATCACAAATACAACACATGTTATCACAAATAAAACACATGAGCTATCACCAATAAAACACACGAACTGTCACCAACAAAACACTTGGTATTAGTGATAAATTGGTGATAAAAGACGTGTCATCACCAATAAAAAATTTTGGTGATAAAATTTTGTATTGGTGATAAAACATTTTATTGGTGATAAAACACGTGGCATCACCAATAAAACAAGCGGTTTCACCAATTAAACACGGGTATCACCATTAAAAGACGTGATTTCACCAATAACCACGTGACATCACCAATAAGCACGTGGTATCACCAATAAAACATGTGGTATCACCAACAAAACATGTGGTATCTCCAATAAAACACGGGTGCCGAGTTCATTAACGTACACGAGTCGCATACATTAAACCCCGAGCGGTGTTCCCATTAAAGCATGTGAGCTGTCACCATTAAATAACGTCCCAATTACCTGGACTGCCAATTAGTTGGGTTCATGCATCATCGCCTGCTGATATAATTGGTTTATTTTTGGACACAACTGTACTTAATTTTTTCATGTTAATTGTGTACCGTGCGCATTACTCTTCGAGAATATTTGTACTTTAATTATTGTATTCGATATTTGTGTACTGTTTATATTATTTATTACAGAGCAGTTTTCGTTGTCTTTTGTAAGTATTTTGTATCGTGTATAATTTAATAATCATAAGTATAATTTAATAGTGTAATTTATACACTATATTACTAACAATGGGTTACGACGGCGAAGTAACCTTCTGTGGATGTCTCTGGTACAGTACTCACCTGGTTGAGCTTGCGGGGGTTGAGCTCTGGCTCTTTGGTCTCGCCTCTCAACCGTCAATCAACTGGTGTACAGATTCCTGAGCCTACTGGGCTCTATCATGTATACATTTGAAACTGTGTATGGAGTCAGCCTCCACCACATCACTTCCTAATGCATTCCATTTGTTAACTACTCTGACACTGAAAAAGTTCTTTGAAACATCCCTGTGGCTCATTTGGGTACTCAGTCTCCACCAATGTCCCCTTTTTCGCATACAGCATAACAGGAACAGAGGAAAGCATGATAGCCAGAGGTAACAGGGGAACAGGGAAAAGTCAAGGTGATGAAATGAAGAAAATGTTCGCCCAGCTTTTGGAGGATATCAATAGCGAGATGCAGGGAATGATGAAGTAAATGTAGAATGAAATAAGCAACCTGAAAAGAGAGCTGACAGCAGCAAAGGAGGTGATTAGATCCTTCAATGAGAACAATGTTGATGCTGAGACTCATATAATCATCCAGGGAGAAGGTGGAAATAGTATACTGGAAGAGAATGCCACTATAAAAGCAACATTTGCAGAAATGCTAATAAAAAATAACTCTGAAGTAATGTCCACAGTGATGGAGGAGGCCATGAAAGCAGCCACCTCACAGGAAGCGGCACGCTCCACTAGCCAGCTGCTGGAAGAAAAAGATCAGTGATAGCTGTGGGTATTAAAGAGCTGGAAGGATCCAATAGGACAGAGTGGAATGATAAGGACAACGGGGCAGTGAATGAAATACTGAAAGCACTAGAGATGGAAGGGGCTGAGCATAGAATTGAGAAGGTTTTCAGGCTAGGCTGGTACAACAAAGACTGAGACCGTGTGTTAAAGTTAGTGTTTGCAAACGAGAACACAAAGGAGATGATTCTAACAAGGAAAAGCCACCTGCACTATGTGGGAGAATTAAAAAAAGTATTCCTCCAGAGGGACATGATGAGGGAGGAGAGCCATGGCGGCAGAAGCAAGGAAGAAGCGCAGGGCGAGAGGGGAAAACCAGGAAATCACAGCTCCCAACACAACATCCTCAGAGGTGAGGGGGGAACCCACAATCAGCTATGAAGTAACACCAGAGGGGAGGGCAACCCCACCACCCTCCTCTGCATAGAAACCCCCCCCCCCCTACTACAAACCCTCCCTGCCCCCACTCAAATGCTCAGCCAAATCTCCCTTCTCCCACACCCCATTCCCACCCTGCTACCCCTCCCCACCTCCCACTATGTCCCCCCTCCCCTCTTTTTCTTCCGGTTCTCCCTCCCCTTTCATCCCATACCCTCCCTGCCCCCCCCTTCACTAGACACCCCACCCCTCACCTCAGCATCCTCTGAGACCCGTTATCCACCTCACAAATCCTCACACCCATAGAACAGCTTCCCCCACCAGCAGAACACTCACCAAGGAGGCAATTTGAGAAGGGTCAGAAGAAAGTGAGCCTCAAGGCGATGTACACTAACATAGATGGAATTACAAATAAAGCAAATGAACTTGGAGAATGGGTACTAGAAGAAAACCCAGACATAATAGCACTCACAGAAACAAAGCTGACGAAAACCATAACAAATGCAGTGTTCCCACAGGACTATGGATGACTATGTTATATGTATGACTATGTTATGGACTATGTTATGAGGAAAGAGAAAGAAGGAAGAGGAGGTGGTGGTGTAGCTCTGCTGGTAAGAAAAGGCTAGAACTTTGAGGAGATGGTTATTCAGGGCTGTGAAAGTTTCAGTGACTACATAACAGGCACCATAACAACTGGAGGACAAAAAATTATAGTCGTAGTCATATATAATTCACCACCAAATGACAGAAGACCCAGACAGGAATATGATAGAAACAACATGGCCACCATTATCATAATAGAGAGAGCATCTTCTGTTGCTAGCAGGAATGGTTCTGGACTACTAACCATGGAAGACTTCAGCCACGGGAAGATAGATTGGGAGAACCGAGATCCGCATGGAGGACCAGAAACATGGAGACCTAAGCTGCTGGACGTGGCAACAAGACACTTTCTAAGCCAGCACATCAAGAAACCAACAAGAATGAGAGGAGATGAACCAGCTATTCTCGATCTTATATTTACCCTAAATGAGTGGGATATAAAGGAAGTTAAGATGGAAGCACCCTTGGGAATGAGTGACCACAGTGTATTGAACTTTGAGTACCTGGTAGAGCTAAGAATTATCTCCCCCAAAAAAGAATAAGGAAACAAAAGGCTGGCATACCGAAAGGGGAACTATGAGGAGATGAGAAGTTTGCTAAGGGAAATACCTTGGGACACAGACCTCAGAGCTAAGTCTGTACAAGATATGATGGACTATGTCACCCAAAAGTGTCAGGAGGCAGTAAACAGGTTCATCCTGGCCCATAGGGAGAGACAGGCAGGTATAGCTGGTAAGGTGCTCCAGTGGATAAGGGAGTACACAAGTAATAAGAAGCAGAGAGTTACGGTGAGGGGTGAGAACTCAGATTGGCGTGAAATCATCAATGGAGTCCCACAGGGCTCTGTACTCGGTCCTATCTTGTTTCTGATATATGTAAATGATCTCTCAGAGGGTATAGATTCATTTCTTTCAATGTTTGCTGACGCTGCCAAAATTATGAGAAGGATTAAGACAGAGGAGGACTGCTTGAGGCTTCAAGAAGACCTAGACAAGCTGACGGAATGGTTGAACAAATGGTTGTTAGAGTTTAACCCAAGCAAATGTAATGTAATGAAGATAGAAGTAGGGAGCAGGAGGCCACATACTAGGTATCATCTGGGAGATGAAATTCTTCAGGAGTCAGAGAGAGAAAAAGACTTGGGTGTTGACATCACGCCAGACCTGTCCCCTGTAGCCCATATCAAGCGGATAACATCAGCGGCATATGCCAGGCTGGCCAACATAAGAACGGCATTCAGAAACTTGTGTAAGGAATCATTCAGAACTTTGTATACCACATATGTCAGGCCAATCCTGGAGTATGCAGCCCCAGCATGGAGTCCATATCTAGTCAAGGATAAGACTTAACTGGAAAAGGTTCAAAGGTTTGCCACCAGACTAGTAACTGAGCTGAGAGGTATGAGCTACGAGGAGAGACTACGGGAATTAAACCTCACTTCGCTGGAAGACAGAAGAGTTAGGGGGGACATAATCACCACATTCAAGATTCTCAAGGGAATTGATAGGGTAGATAAAGACAGGCTATTTAACACAAGGGGCACACGCACTAGTGGACACAGGTGGAAACTGAGTGCCCAAATGAGCCACAGAGATATTAGAAAAACTCTTTTAGTGTCAGAGTGGTTGACAAATGGAATGCATTAGGAAGTGATGTGGAGGCTGACTCCATACACAGTTTCAAGTGTTGATATGATAGAGCCCAATAGGCTCAGGAACCTGTAC